GGAAGGGAAGGCCCTCTGGGAGATGGATTGATTCGGTGATTGGGGCAATCGGGATGAGTGTGTCAGAAGCAATGAGATTGGCACAGGACAGAGCAGAGTTTAGAGCTGTTGTACATAGCGTCGCTACGAGTTGCAAGCGATTCAACGGCACATAACAACAACAACAACTTAGATAAAAAGTAATTTAAATTTTTGTTTAAAAAATTAACAAAATTTAGGGAGCTCTGCTGGCCTAGTGGTAAAGAGCTGCACTGCAACCTCAAAGGCGCCCAGTTTGAATCCACCAACAGCTCCATGGGAGAAAAGTAGGCAATCTCCTCCTGTGTAATTTATCCCCAAATATTTATCAAAATTTACAGTTCAGTTGGTTGTAATAACAAATGAATGGTATTTTGCAATTCACATCAAAACATTATATTAAGATAATGATATTATTTCACTAAAGATGTTTCAGTGCATCTAGAAGTGGGTTTTTTTTGCTGCTTTTTATGCATAGAAAAGTACACTATATATTACACACTGTGACAATCATTTTATTAACTGATACTAGATACGAATAATACCTAACTACTTCAACTTAGGTATAAATCCCAATTAAAGATAGATTTAGGAAAGAAATTTTTTTATAATCTGGGAACTGCATAATTATTTTATTAAGTGTATATATCATCTATGTCTATAACTATATCTCTATATCTATATCTAATCTCTAACCTATCTCTATCTCTATATCTATCTAATCTATATATCTACAGCTATCCTGAAATAGCTTGTCATTACATATAGTATTGTCCTGTAGATATCTTCTACACATTGCCTTCTGTTCTATATATGTTATAAAGTATGTTTATTAGTGTTTGTAAGCCTACTTAATTTTTACTGATGTATCCCACTATGTATGGTGTGTGTATAGATAATTTTGCATGAAATATATTCTTTTATATTTTTCCCTTTTGGAAAGCCTTTTGAGTGTGCCATTTCACAGAGCAAATTTGTTTTCCATGCAACAATTACCATACATTCTTCTATGTGATATTGATCACACTCCCAGCATTATAGCTGCATCCTTCTCACCTCATTGCTGTGTTTACCACTTTTTGAAACTTTTAAATTAATTCTCCTGTCTGTGGATTCTTAGGCTGTTTACAGTTATTTCTTTAGTCTTTCAAATAATAACTGTAGTGTACATTTTGATACCTGTCTCTTTGTACACATACACAGGAAGTTTTCCAGGATTTTTCTCTGAAGAAAGACTTGCTCGGCCAAAGATGGTACACATCCTTGACATCATTAGCTGTTACCAAAATAGCTCATAAACATACTGTTTTCAGAGAGTTGTTAAGAGGAAAGTGATTATATTATTTTCTGTACTGTATCACCTTTCTCATGTCGCTCTGATGTCAGAAACTGTGTCACTGGTATTTCAAACACCACTAGGGTCACTGATGGTGAACAGATCTCCTCCCACAGAGATCTAGAGCCTCAGAACTCTGTCAAAATGAGTTGGAATTGACTCAATAGCA